GGTCTTCCGGGCTGTGTGGCCGTGTTCTTGAAGTCTTGCTTCCTTATGTTTCGCCAGCACCTGTGACCGGCATCTTCAGAGAGCAGGAGCACAGACAGGCGCAGTTCAAAAAATCCTGTTTTCAAATAGGATTTTGTGTCCAGTGTGCTTGAGAGCATGTTCAGCTACTGCAGATTTTTCTGGTTGCTGTAGTCTGCAGTTATAGTTATTTACCTATAACTTTGTTACAGAACAATTATTCTGTAAATGGACTTAATTTGTGAAAGGGTGTCTTCCCACTTCCATTTCCCCCATATCTTCTGTGTCCTGTGAAAATTTGTTTCTGCTATTTTTGAAAATGTTTTGCAGTATAGCATAGGAAGAATAGATGTAAATGGCCCCTCTCACAACTGGAAGAGCAAAGTAAGCTCCAGAGTACTGGATGAAATAATGCAAAATCAAGCATTCATATGACAGAAAGAGGTGCCTTAGCTAGAATGTCCAATGTGCTGGCGTTCAGTAACATCTGAAAGACCTCAGGGACCCCATACATGTCATCTAGCACCCATATCTTCTGGATGCTTTAGCAGCTTATTTTCAAATTAAGACAACAATCAAGCAAATTCTTAACTCTACTGATGAGGGTTATAGATATTACAGATGGAATGTTGTATTGGCTCAGAATATTTTTGGGAAAATACCTGCTAAATGTTCATGGATTTGTTGCATGAATTCTTGTTGTTTTTGATAGAAAAATAGAAGAAATAGGATTACCATAGGCTTTTCATCACATAATGATATAAATAAAAATGGATATCTTCTTATTTTGCATAATGCTTCTGCATTCAGTTGCAGGCTTCATTTTAACAGCACATGTACTAAATTGCTTCACACATATTACGGATGTTGCTCAGTATTGTTGGGAAGCTGTTCTGTACTGTTTTTACATTTAGGGGTCATTTTACTCTTTTAAAAGGTTCCTTTATGCTAAGTTGAGCTGAAGTGTTATTTATTTTAACCAGTGCTTTGACGGGCCACTTGATTAGTTCTGATAGCAGGTCAAAACCAAGGTCTTCCGTTTTCTGCTGCTGCTTCTACTGTTTCTTGGTGGCGGGTGTTGGAGAGTGCAGAAAACTGGGAATTCATTGTGATCCCTCTCTAAAGAAGCAACATGCTTATTTTGTTTCAGTGGATAACTTTTTGAATGCTTATGAGTATTGCCTTAATGTGGATCAGCTACTGAACATAATTATTCATCTTTGATTTTTCTGAACCTTGATGGATATGGCTAAAAAAGAGAAAGAAATCTTAAATTGTACTCAGAGGGAGAAATAAAATGCAATGTAAGGGACAGAACTCATGCAAAGCATTATATATTTATTTCCACACCTCTGTAAACCTAAACAAATAGTCAGTGTTCTTGGCCTTCCTGTAATGGTAGTAGGAAAGTAATTTGATTTCTATGATATCCTAAGTCTTTATGTGAGATGTTCTTGAAATCCTCCCCATGTTTATAAAATCCACAACTTACCTGTTTGCTTTGAAGGTAGTAAAGTCAATATGCAAACAAGGGGGTATTTGTGTCCATTTATTTTCTAGTAAATTTCCAAGCTAAGCCTTGTTTGAAAAGTGTTTCCATACCATGTATGGAATTCCACATGAGATGCAGCACATATCTTCTCTATTATTATTCCATATCTAGTTGTGTTAATACATAGCCAAAGCTAGAATTAGGCTTGCTTGATGTGCTTCTCTTCTGATGATGTACAAATCACAGATAACTTTCTTGCAAATGATATCATGCTGACTGAAATACACACATAATTTTTTTGTTATGGGTCTTGTTTTCCCCATCTCCCTCAAAGACTGCAAGCAAAGACTATTTTATACTTCTCAGAAACAAAATCAGTAAAACTGTCTCATAAGGCTGTGCAAAGTTTGCCTTCAAAAGTAGTTATGTAGATTGTTTGGAATCTTGACTGTCACAGTGTCCATGTTCTGGAACAATAGAAGGTGATCAACTTTTCAAAATGAAATTAAAAGCCAGGTTACATTCAATAAATTGAAGTTCAGAACCTGACTCCCACATTCTAGGACAGCTCCCAGAAGCTATGAGTTCTCCAAAAGTTTTTAATTTAATAAAAGGAGGAAATTGTGAAATATATGTTTGGACAGTAATCATATTAATTACATTTAATGTTAATTGAATGCAAATGAAATCCAATCAATTACAGTTTTTATCCTGGCTCTCTTACTACTTTTCAGTGCATAGCTTCTAGTTTGCAGTTCAAAGGCTGAGCATGATCCTTTGATTGGAAATATTTACACACTGCTGGATTAGGCATAGATAAATCTAATTCCTTTAATTTATACTCATAATATACATGGAAGGCCAGTGAAATAGCCTTTGCAAATAATCACTGTAGAAGGGCAGCCATGTTAGTTTATAGTAGCCCAAAATCAGAAGGAGTTTGATAACCGTTTCAGATTAACACATTTTATTAAAAGGCATAAACTTTTGTGAGCTACAGCCCATGTCATCATTGTATCTGATGAAGTGACCCTATAGCTCATGAAAGTTTATGTCTTTTAGTAACATATGTTGGTCTGAAAAGATGCTATCAGACTCTTTCTGGTTTTTGCATAATAGTGGCTCCCCAAAAGTAGTTTGGAAAAGATATTCAAATGCTGTTATGTATCTATACCTACAAAGATCAGAATTGTATAAGCCATGGTATTCCCTGTGACACTCTATGGAAGTGAAAGTTGGACTTTAAAGAAGCAGGATAGAAAGAGTATTTACACCTTTGATCTTTGGTGTTGGAGAAGACTCCTGAGAATACCACAGACAGCCAAGAAAACAAACCGGATCATTGAACAAATCAACCCAGAGTTCTCAATCAAGGCACAAATGATCAGGCTCAAATTGTTCTACTTTGGACACATTATGCAAAGATCTAACTCTCTGGAGAAGGCTCTAATTCTGGGAAAGATGGAAGGAAAGAGAAGAAGAGGACCAACAGCAGCAAGGTGGATGGACTTAGTTACAGTGACAATGAGCGCACCAAAAGAATAGGTTAGAGATAGATCATCATGGAGGAAACCTATCTATGTGGTCACTTGGAGTTAAAAATGACTTGCTGGCACATAATCAATCAATCAATCAATCAATCAATCAATCAATCAATCAAAAGTATCTACCTTGCAAGGCATTTTCCTATATGGAGTCCTATCATGACTCTTGCATGGACATTCTCTGCCTCCACAAGAAGCTGCCAGATATGCAGTTAGGGAAGTTTTATGCAAATGGAATTCCTCAAGCAGAGGGACATTTCAGATGTGACAGAAGAGTCCTGTACTACTTTCTCCAAATTGCATGCCTATTCAGCAATTAGTCATGTACAACACTCTCAAGAAGTCAGTGTGATTTTATATACATCTTTAAACTGCTGTTTCTTGGAAGAGTTGCAATATGAGTAAAAAAAGAAAGCATATATGCATTTATTCAAAGCTTTCTCTATTATTTTTATGATATAATTCAATTGTAGGTTTTCTTTTTTTTGCAATGACTTTCTTATTCACCATTATGCTTCTTTGTGCCATTAGGATACTGTAAATTGCTTGATTTTAGTAAAATATTACTATTTTTTTTTCAAAAGTGGGCAATTTTACATCAAGAAATGTATCTTCTTATACATTAACAATATATTTTTTGTCTCCTAAAAGGGTAGCAGAGGTGAGCCAGGCCCTGCTGGTCCTCCAGGGTCACCAGGTAAAATGGTAAGCAGATAGTCTTGACTTCCACCACATTAATTTGCTTGGCCAAGGGTTTGTGGCAACCAATTCATTTATTCAGGCAATGAAAAGATGAAATGTGAATTGGGACTTTTATTACCTTCATTCATTTCAGCTTGTGACTCTATTAAAACTGTATCATTATTTGAACTTCCTAAAAATTCACTTTATTTTTATGTCGGAAGCATCTTTCTGTGTATCGGAGAGTGAAGTTAGATTTTAATATTATTAAACCTTTACAAGAAACAGGAATGCTGAAAGGCCACCTTTTTTTTTTTTTTTTTTTTTTT